AATAATAATGATAATAATGATAATAATAACAATAACAATAAATAGCATTTGTACTGTGCACACCTCTGCTCGACAGCAAACGCTATGCGCTTTACGCTATATTTTACTCCAGCAGACCATAGAACACTCAGAAACATTCTCGGCTTCTCAGGCGGGAAGCATACAGTGCAGGCAGCCGATTAAGTACGCAAACTCTCAAACTGACAAGAACCTTCGCTGTCTATAGCTGGGTACCTATTCCAACCTGGGTGACGTGAGGAAAATTCGTATCAAGTGCCTTTCCCATGGACACAATGTCGGGCCCCTGACGGATTCGAACCTACGACCCTACGGTTGCAAGTTCAAGAGCCTAACAACTAGGCCTCAAATTAAAAGTTCTTTTTTTTCTGAATCAGCTATTATCAGTGGATTTAAGAACAAATTTTTTTTTTAAATTGCTCAATTTGTTTGTTGAAGTTCCCAAATGAGTTTCCGTATAAGATTAGGGCTGTGTGACAGCCTACATTCATCATCATCACAAAGTGCCAGATCTGCGACAGACATCGGCGATCATGGTTCTCCATTCATTCCTTTGCTCGAATGCTCTCAATAAAGCTACGTTTCCCTGATCTTTCCCTGTTACCCATTTGTTTAGGTTCCCTAAGTATGTTGTTCTGGACCTTCCCCTGCCTCGTTTGCCCTCAATTTTGCCAGTGAGAGCTAGATGTTCAAGACCCTTATGTCTATTTATGTGTCCCAAAAACTGCATTTGTTTTTTCCAGACTGTTTTTAACATTGAGCGTCCCACGTGGGCTTCATCAAGCACTACCTCATTTGACTTCTTTTCTTTCCACGATACTCTTAGCAGTCTCCTACACTTATAGTCCGGATAATTATCATTTTAAGACTTTTACTTTGATGAGGTTAAATGTCTGTCGTTTCAACTTGTTCTGTCTTTTGGGTTTCTGTTTGTTTTTTGTTTTTAAGAGAAGTGCGTTTCGGATTTGTCCAATGTTTTGAATGCAACCTACCCGACAGCGAATAGCGTTTGACATCCAACGATCTTGTCAGTTTGTTAGTGTTCTATGGCCTGCTGGGGTAATAATAATAGGCCTACAATGTAAAGCGCACAGAGCTTGCTGTCGAGCGGGGATATGCGCTATACAATGCTGTTTATTATTATTATTATTATTATTATTATTATTATTATTATTATTAGTATTATTAGTATTATTAGTATTATTAGTATT